TCACGATGGAGTGAAGCAGTGGCCTGGCCCGCTCACCTCACCATGCAGGAAACGCAGCCAGAAGCGCCAAGTCGGAGAGCCAGAGGCCGCAGGCCACAGTGCTCTAGTGTCGGACAAGGCTGCTGCCCACCCCGCTCCCAGTACCACCCAGGGACCTCCCACAGATGTTCTCGTGGCTCCCATGGGCCCCCATGCTCAGGCCCCGGCCCTGAGTAGGTCAGACACCAACAGAGAGCCATCAGATTTTGGTACACTTCCCCGGGGGAAAGAAATAGGCGGGTACATCCTTCTGCTGGGATGGCTTCATTCATGCAGAGAACCCAAGGCCTCTCTTAACCAAAGGCGGGAGAGTTTCATAGAGAACAGCGCGGACAGGAGCAGAGTGGGGGACCGGAGCAGGGCCGCGGCATGCGGGAGGCGGGGGCTGACCTTCGCAGGCAGGCTGGTTCCCCAGCAGGCTGGTGTAAGTGGGAGTGTCTTTTTCTACACCGAGGTAGGCGAGGTAGGCGGGCAGAGGAGAGAGAAGAATCAAGAGCCAGTCAGGAGATGGAAAGCAAGAAGGGTGACGTCAGGTGGGCTCCTCAGCAAGCACAGAGGCAAAGGCCCGTGCCCAGGAAAGAAGCTGCCGAGCTTGCATCCCCGGGGGACATCCAGGCTCAACATGGTGCGCGGCCGCCTGCCGGAGGGGCCACCGCTACAGCCCTCCCCAAGGCGTGGCCTGCACTTGGAGCCTCAGCCTTGTCTGAGCCAGCGGTAAATGACGACACCAGCGTTCTCTAAGGGGAACCACCACGACATTCTCAGGCAGCTCCTCCTCCACTGCCTTACACGGTGAGGCCCCGTTCACCTGGAAGGTTCTGGAACCACTGACCGAACCCCAGGAAGGGAAAGGTGGGTCGTCTTGGAGAACGGACAGGTCTGCTCCCCATGTAGCTGTGTTCTCCCAGCCGCACATGCACCTGTCACCCACCTGTGGCAGCAAACCCTCCCGCTTAGGAAAGGACAGGGCGGCCTTTACCTCCAGGAGGGAAGCCTTCCGTGAGAACCTGCACGGTGGAGACGTGTGCAATCTCGATTTCGTGGTGGCTGTCTCCATCCAGAATCAAGTACCTGCGTCACAAGGGGTCCGGGAAGGTTACTCTCGGGCCCGGGTGCCTGATCCGCGGCCTAGACGCTGCAGCAAGGACGCCAGTTCTTACCTCTGGTTGCTGGAAAGGCGGCAAAGCATCATTTCAGAGCTCTCTGAGTTTCCAAAGGTTACCAGGAAAGTGGCTCCTTGGGAGACAGAAAGCAATGTGGAGATGTGCTGCTGCTTCACACTTCCCTGGGCCTCCGACACAGAAGAGCCCTGTCCTCTGGTTCCCGGTCGAGATGTGCATGCAGAGGACAAAGTAGAAACACGCAGGAAACAAGACACCGTGTTTCCTGGATCCCCTTCCACCCAGCTAAAGGTAGGGGCACATTAAGGGTCGAAGAAGTAAATGGAGGGGCACGTTCTCTCCAAAGGCAGGCCTGGGAGAATTCATCACCAAGGCCCAGACCAAAGAACACCAACCCCTACACCCATATATTCTAAGGGCCCACCAGGACAGCACCCAGATCCTACACGAGGGCCCAGGGCCCAGTAAAGCCCAGCAAGGCCACCGTCCCTGGGAAGCGAGGCCCCGTTCCACAGAGGAGAGCACTGGGAGCAGGGAAGCAGGTTATCCCGGGCCCATGTAGCCCAGGCAGGCCTGCGGAGAGCGGGCAGGAGTGCTGGGAGCAGCTGAGGCTAGGAGGGGCCGCTGGGTCCATGGAGGCTGGGGAGCACCGCCCCCAGCACATTAGAGGAGACGGCAGGCCCTAGGCCTGCGTCGTGCTGCCAACACAGGGCCAGTTCTGCCTGGCCAGGGCCTCCTTCCCACCTCGTGGACGTGCCCACGGAGCCAGGGCCAGCATTTGAGAGGAACTTCCCATCTCCAGAGGAAGAACAGTGGTCTGAAGAAGGTGGGGGGGAGGTGGTAGAAGGCTGACGAAAGCAGGGAGGCCTCGAGTGGGTGAGTCACCTCCGGAGGCGCTGGGACACCGCTCAGTGGAGGCCACATACCGCCCAGGAGCACTTTGAGCTGCTTGTCGTAGAACTCGGCCTCCTTGTGGGACACCAGGGCGCACTCGGCGCACTGCCGCACCGGGTCCACGAAGCACATGCGCCGCAGCGGCACTTTCTGACTGCAGCATCTGTCACAGAAGCACTTCCCGCAGCGGCGACAGTGGTGCTGGGGCATGGCAGGAGGGCAGGCAGTGAGCGGGCCGCACCCCCAGGTCCCCGAGGCCGTCTCACGGTCCGCAGGTGCTGGCCTGCCCTGGCCTGGCCTGCCCTGCCCTGCACCTGCACCGCAGCCTCTGCCTCACTAGGGAAGCGAGGCCTTTTCATGGTCAGTAGCGGCCCACATGGTCTTCCCAGTCTTCCTCGCCTCCCTAAGCCCTGCCGCCCACACCTGCCTGGGCGCCGCTCAGCTGAGCACGTTCAGGAGGAGCTCCTGCCTGAGGGCAGCAGCCCTGGCGCTCCTGCTCCTCCTTATCGGAGCCAGGGCACGACCTGCCGCGCCAGCAGCCCCACACCCTGGCTGCTCAGGTCCACCCAGTGGCTCCCAGGGCACCCCCGCCCCGAACAGGACCACCCAGCCACCCACTCGGCCGCGGCTCACCTTTCTGGTGATAAAGTCAAACTTGGCATCGCACTGCATGCACCTCGGACACTAGGAGAGGAGAGGAGACGAGACGGTGTTACCTTCCGGCTGGCACTCGGCCGGGCGGCTGGCAAGAGGGCCACTGAGAAAGCCAGCGCCACGTGCGGGCTGAGGTAGCTGGACAGGCGGGTCTCTGAGGCAGTGGGGGAATGGCAGCGGCAGCTCTGCACCTGCTCAGAAGCCCATCAGGCCCGGTGGGCCCCCAGCCCGATGCTGCAGGTTGAGGTGGGATCGCCCCGGAGCCTGGGGAGACACACCCACTGCACAGACTCTGGCTGGAGTGCTTGGTGGCCAAGGTCCCAGGGGACAGAGCCAGGAGGTCCAGAGAGTGCACGGCCTAGCCTTCCTGCAGCTGAGCCCACGTCCCTGTGCTGCAGGCATCCTGATGCGGGACAACAGCAATGCTTGGAGCTGTTAGCTCCTGGCCCTGCTCCTGTCACTTGGACCAGACCTGTGCGTGAAGTGACATGGCCTCCCAGAGCGGGAGTGAGCCTGATCAAGGGCCTCACCACCCTGCTTCGCACAGGAAGGACCTGCGGGGCTCTGTGAGGACAGGGCCGCAGCCAACCGGCGCGCCAGTCCACCTGAGGCAGAGTGTCCTCTGCGTGTGCCCTTAGGTCTCAGTGCTCATCAGGGCCCAGGAAGGGCACTCGGAAGACACAGGAGCAGAGCACCCAGGAGGCAGATGCCAGGCCTGCAGTGCCTTGACCAGGACCTGGGGGGAGAGGCCCACACCCAGGGCTCCCAAGGCTAGGGTCCCTGCGCCTGGACTCAGTGCAGAGGCGGTGGCTGGCCTGGGTGGGTCTGGGCAGACCTGGGCCTCTGGCTCCCATGAAACCTGGCGGGGACGGGGGCCACAGGGGCTCACCTGGCCAAGTGGGCAGGCTGCAGCCTGGGGGGCGGGGGGTCACACTGAACAAAAGGGCTACCTTGGGGCCGGCTGGCGGCATGGTGGTTAAGGCACTGGGTCTCACATGGCCAACCAAGGTTCGAGTCCCAGACCCACTGGCCTGAAAATCATGCCAGGCACTTGTGCACACATGCCCAAGATCCTGAGAGGAGAATGGAGAAGGGACTGTGGCGTGGCCATTCCCCAGGGTTGATTTCTCACTCTCCTGTGTTCTCTCTCCCCGCAAGGTAAGCACACACGCCTATGGCCTCCTGCCATGTGCAGTTCCCGCGTGGCACCAGTGCAGGGCGCTCTAAGGACGGGCTGCACAGGTTGAGTCAGCTGGCTGCTGCAGGTGGACCCTCAGAGTCACCTGCAGAGCCGCCTCAGGGCTGATGAGAGGGCACCAGGTCACAGCAAGGCCTAGGGTGCAAACAAACTCCACCCTCCAGCACGCTGGGAGCACTGCACTGTCCCTCAACACCCTGCGACCACCTGCTGGGCACCATTACGGCGGCTGTGACCTTAGGAGCATCCATCCTCTTCACCAAGCTGTCCCCGGACAGAGCAGGGCATGGCGCCGGCACACTCCCGGCCAGCCAGGCGCATCTACACCGTGTGGTAGCCAGGCTCCACAGAGCCCGTGAGGCCAGCGCCTGCTCCCAAACGGCTTCTAATAAGCTCAGGCCGCCAGGACGCCAGGAGCATGAGGACCTGGCTGGGGCAGAGAACAGAGACGGCAGGACCCCAGACTTACGTGAGTGGAGGCGGAGAAGCCACCAAAGGAAGGAGAGCCTCAGGATGCCCCGCGCCAGAGGAGGGCCCCCAGGAGCGGACTCACCAGCTCAGGCAGAAAGCGGCCAAGTGTGGGCCGTCAACCCTGGGTGCAGCAGCTGTCAGCTGTCTGAGCAGCCCCGGCCCTGGGCCCTCAGCCCTCTCTAAGAGACCCTCACTGTGAGTTCCTGGGTGCGCTGTGAGTACTGTGGAGCCACTGGGCCAGTCCTCAGAAGGCCCAGCCTGTGGATGCCCTAGGACACAGCAGAGGCCTTGGCACTGGCCGCCGCCCCACTTCTCAAACTACCAAGCTTGTCCAGCACAGGGCCTGTCTCCGGGGCCGACTCTGCCCACCCAACCCTGCGCCAGGTACCTCTGCACTAGCAGGTGGGCTCCCCGGCTTGGAGCCCCCTGGATCTTGAGGCTGCTCAGCCCGGGCTCCACAGGCACAGAGCAGAGCACCCATGCCAGATACGGAAGATCCGGCCTGGACTGGCTGCCTCCTGCCCATCCCTGGCAAAGGAGGGCGCTGGCGGCCGAGCCTGGGAAACCACTGGGTGCCCACGTGCCGCCACCTCCCTGCATGCTCACAGCCATGGCCCTGAGAGCGGCTCTCGCTGTGGTCCAAGCTAAGGCAGCCAGAGCTGCCCTGAAGGGGCTCCATGTGGCTAGACGTGCCTTCCATAGAAGGAAGGGCCCTTCCGCCACGCGATGGGCAAGCCCCTCCCGGCCTGCCTCCCCGCGCTCCCGGGCCTGCACCGTGCTGCTGACCCTCTCGCCAGGCTCCTTCCAGTGCCTTGAGGGGTGGGCGCAGCAGGCTAGAGGTGGCAGACCCGTGTGACGGGCACAGCCACTACAGCCAGAGCAGGCAGACTCTGTGGGGCACCGCGCAGAGCAGGCCCCGAGAGCTGCCCGCCTCACTAGGCATGGGAGCGTGGCTGGTAGTGAGGTACAGAGGGTCTTCTCGGGGAAGAGGACCCAGCTGAACAGCCATTGAGACCCACCCTCGGTGCTGGGCCGAGAACTACAAGGAGATAAAAAGGGCCTTTTCCCTCCACTGAGCGCCCTTTCCCTTCCAGCTGGAGGGAAGGAAAACCCACAGAAGGTCAGAGCACACTGCAGGGCTGCGGGCTGAGGGGCCACCGCCTCACCAAGGAGATGGGAGTGGGCACAGCCACATCACTCCACACCAAACAGAACTGCTCTGACCGGGATCCCAGTGCTGTCCCTCCAGATCTTGCCACCAAGGACTCGGCGCCCCTGGTGTGCACTAGTGTAATAGTCCAGCTGGCCCAGCCCCCAGGGAATGCCACCCTGGCCACCTTCACTGTGACCACCAGAACCATCTGGCCAGGGCCCCACAGGCCCTGCCCCAGCCTCCCCGTGGCGCCGGCTCAGGCCGCCCCCGCAGCAAACCCAAGGCCTCTGAGCCTCGGAGCGCAGTGGTGCAGTGTGGGGCTCCACAGCCTTGAGTCCACGCTGCTAGACATGTGGCCAGGCTAGACCACGAGGGCGGCACATCGCAGCCGGACCAGGGCAGCCTGGCCTGCAGTGCCCGTCAGCCGCGGCTCCACACCGGGCACGGTTCCCAGGCTTTCTGAGATCCCATGACTAACGTCTTCCTGCTCCTCCTTTGCTCTTAAGCTGCTGTCTGTGCTTGGAAACCAGGCTTGTCTGCTCAGCCTTTTGGAATGGTCTAGAAGCCTCTCAGCAGCTTTTTATAAAGACAGATTTTTGCAATAGGGTGTGTATGTTTGTCAGAGAGACAGAGACAGAAAGTGAGAGATCACCTCCCCCCCCAGAGGGGTGGCCACACTACAGTCCTTTTTTCATTCTCCTCTCGGGATTTGGGGCACACATGCACACGCACCCGGCATGAGGTTTAAGCCACCAGGACTCGAACCACAGCTGACTATGCGGGAATCCAGCGATATCACCATTATGCCATCTGCTGGTGCCTACAGCTCTGACTGGGCTCGCCTGTACCTCGGCTTGGCTGGTGGGCTGCCTCTGCCCTGCCCCCAGAGCTGTCGGCCCAGACCACTTCCATGGCCCGACCTCTGTGTGGGCCGCTTCGACCCCAGGTACCTGCCAGCCCCAGAGCCCACCAGGGCCCGCTGGACAATGCTCAGGAGGTCCTGGCTGGTGTGGCCAGGGCTGGCCCAGCTCGCAGGCCATGCATGCAGGGCAGCTAAGGGGATGCCCTCCACACTTCACGCGGCTGGGGCTGGAGCGTGGCGGAAGCCCAATTTCTAAACACATCTAGAACTTACACGCTCTGCCTGAAGAATGAGAGCGATGGGGGCAGACCGCGGTGCAGCAGCGAAACAGACCCTGCAGGGCGGACCCCATGGGCAGGCCCAGGTTCATGTCCAGAGACCTCCCTGAGCACACGGCTGCTGCAGTCCACCCCTGGCCTCACCGGGGCACTCTGTCTCATCTGTCCTCTCCTCATGGAAAAAATAAACTAAGATGTGTGTGAGAGAGAAGTTTTAACTTACTCTGAATAACCAAGCATATTTAGAAAACAGACAGATTTATTTTTTTTAATTCTTTTCAAGTTTATTTCTTTCCTTCTTGAGAGAAGTAGGGGGTACCCTCCTCAGGGTCTTGCCACACTGCAATCCTCCTCCAGCCCCCCAGCCTGCCAGGATCATCAGGGCGCAGCGGACCTGTGTCAAGACAACGTGGGATCTGAACCTGGGCCCTGTGTGACTCCAGACTCATGCAGTGGCACCCTACCCCTGCACCAAGACCAGACCTTGACAGAGCATGGAACACGGTCCCTTCTTGTTGGTTACATTCATGAAAAGAAAAAGCTTGTCATATCAACAGAACAACTTTACATGGAAGGAGCCTAAGGAAATAAAGCTGGTGACGGGGCGGGGGTGGGGGTAAGAGCACGTGGGCCGTAAGCAGGCCTCCTGGGAACACTGCCCGGGCAGGCCAGCAGGGCGGGCAGCACGGGCATCTCTGATGCTCAGAGCGAGGCAGGAGCTGAGGGACACGCCAGAGCCCAGAGTGATCCCCCAAGTGTGATGCGCCACTTCCCCCACGGGTCAGCTCCAGCCGAGTCACGCCAGACCCACACGTGTGCCCGCATTGCGGGTGCGGCAGGGGGCAACTTCAAGCAGCTTGTGAGGCGTGACTACACCCCAGAAACTCGGGCGTGTGCTGTTTGCGAAAGGTGCTCATGAGGCTGCTGGCCTGGGGGCGGCCCGGGGCGGCACCTAGAGGCAGGCCTCCTGAGCGGCTGACCAGTCCCGACAGCGCTGCGGTCTGGCTCTGCCAGGGCAGGAGAGCGCTGCACCGCTCCAGGGCAGCCGTAGTGGAGATGGAAAAAGTG